GTCACTGCCCCCTCCCCCCTTCAATATTTTGATGCAAGTTTCCTCGCACCATATCTTATCCAAGAAGTAGATAACATACCGTTTTCCAGCATAAAAATCATCCTTATCAAAAGAATCTAGGATTCTGTGCCCAGGCTTTCCTCTGTGTCTTCTTTTCCACACGTTTTTGTATCCCGCTTCAAAACAATTGGACTTCCGCTTTTTTTACACACGCGCATGCGTAATGTAGAAGTGTGTAACGTCAGAGATGTGTAAGTGAAGATGGCAACTTCAATCAACACGATATCTGTGTAATCATGTGTCCGATAAAACCCCGTAACTGGGACACGTTATTTTTTTAATATTTTTAGGATTGAGACATGTCAATTTTTCGTTTTCAAAGAAAAAAAAGTTTGGGGACTTAAATCAAGTCCCCAATGTTTTTTATGTCCCCATTTTACGACTTGCGTATCTGTAGCAGGTCCCCAGTATGGGGAAGCCACACACGCACACACACACACACACACACACACACACACACACACATATATATATATATATATATATATATATATATATATATATATATATATATTGATTGAAAAAATAATGAATGTGTTAAAAATTATATGTTTTATAATAATTAATACGAATTGCTCTAATCAAATGAATTTGTAATTACTTTCATCTCTCGTACATATGTATATTATATAACTAACATATTTCAGAATTTATGGTAATTATCCTTACAAATCTACATGTAAAAGACTTTGACCGATATTGCTGTCTCGGGCTGATAAAGGGCCTGACGTAAAAAAGGGTATAAATTATTATACAAGTATTTTACAGACAAAGAATAATCATTCGTCATTCAGAACACAGTTTCTCACACACATAAAATCAAACAATCAGCGACAGCATAATTTATTTAACTATAGCTGAGCTCGTTGCAAAGCAACGAGTAGGTCTTCCGTCATGTTTGACCGGAAAATACTTTCATTTGAAAAAAAAAATAATGAAGTCGAAAAATGGCTTAATCCTCGCAATCTATGTTCATTTTTGCAAAATCAAGCCATTTTTGGCAACTTCCGGTTTGACCGGAAGTACCGTCAACGGACGGAAAATTAAGATTTAAGCTTCCAGTGACATATGATATCCAAAAACCTGTCAAGAACAACAAAAATATGCAATTTTTGACTACTTCCGGTTTGACCGGAAGTGACGTCCCCGGACGTATTTTGACAACCTCATTAGATAAAGCTTTACATTTTGAACAACTTTGCTTATTTGATGTATTATAAATTCTCAATACTTTTTGAGATATTAAACAAAATCTTTCAAGGACCCTAGATCCCTTATTTTAGGGGCCAGCCCCTTTTTAATGATTTCAAATGAAAACGCTTGTAATTATGCACAACTTTCATTCAACATGTTTTAAAAAATTGCAGAAAATAATTCTTATTTTTGGGCCATTGTCAGCTTTATCCATGCTATGCAATTTCCTTTACCGTTTGTAGGTTAATGTTCATAATTTTGAATGCAGAAATCGAAAAACAAAAACCGATGTGCACAACTTCAATCCTTATGTTTCACCAAGATGGACAAGATCTGCTCCAGTCTTTTGTGGGAAGTTTATCCGGAAACGAAGGTCTAGACAAGGGGACTCAAGAAGGTCGTGGCCATCAAAATCATCGACCTGGAGGAGGCGGAAGACGAAATCGAGGACATACAGCAGGAAATCATGGTTGAGAAATCGCAGTGAGAAATGAGGCATCCAAGTACTACGGCTCCTACCTCAAGGTCAGTAGAAAAAAACAAGGTCAATAATCTTTACCAACAGAATCAGTAGATGGTCTTCCGTTGGAAAGGAAGACCTTATAAATTCCTTATAGGCACGTTCATTTTTTCATCATGTCAAAAATGATTCCTCAGTAACAATATTATTTTAAAATTAACTATATTTTTTTGTATAGAGAATATAAATGCTTAATTTCCATAGGGTAAATAAAAATCCGTATGGGCTGGGTATTGGCCCGAGATTTCGTATTGCGATATATTGCGATATTTTTAACTGTATTGCGATATGTATTGCAATATTTTCAATGTAATAAAAATGGCATTTTCTTACTATATTTACTTTAATTTACATGCAGAATGTACATAACTATGATAAGTAACCAACACAAAAAAATCTTGTTGATTTCATTTAAGTTATGCTCTGAAATGTTCCCACAAAACAACTTCTGACTTACTGTTTGGCTTAATAACAAACTTTCATAAGTCCATTTTTATATTTAATGACAAAATTCCTTTATCTAAAAATATTGCCAATATATCGATATTACAAAATCGTAATTGCGATACGATATTTTTTGTCATTGTATTGCAATATATTGAAATATCGATATTATTGCCCAGCCCTATCATGAAGTGTGTGAAAATCTTACACAACCACAAGAATAATGAATAGAAATCTACATAATGAATGAAGATACATAGACCTTTTATATAGACAATGTAGGGCTTAACATGTACGCCTTCTACCCCCCCCCCCCTTTCCAGGTGACCCGTTGATCTTAAACTACTCTTCCTTCCCCCAGGAGGTGGGGGTGGGGCTGATGTAGTCACAGTGGTAGCTTTTGTCGTTGTTGTAGATACTGTAGTCTTCTTTGACTGCAAGAATTAATAGACTCAAATATTAGTCTATTAAAACGAAAGGACATTTACCAGGAGTGGCTCAATGACTAATGATGCAGAGATTCTGAGTTCTTTTCCTAGTCCAGTCATAAATTTTCTCCTTTTCTATTACTTTTTACACTTTTGATAAGGTGATGTAACACTCCTATATTGGGACTGTGTAACCCCAAAACAGTTATTTTTTAATTCTCCTTCAGTAAAGAACAGTGACCCTTTAGTAGGTTGCAACATGTACACCTTTCACCTTCATGGACCAAGTTTGATGACTCTAGGTATATATTTTCCAGTTATGAGCTGGACAAGATTTTGCCATGATTGGCAGTACATTGTTTTAATCTTAACCTACTATTAATATGTGACACACCTACTTAATTTATGAGCCAGAACAAGCTAACAGACAGACAGACAACTGAACTGAACACCATAACATAATATGTCTCATTTTAAAACAAGCATACAAAATTTTTCATTCTTGTTACTCACAGTTGTTGGTTGATTTTTTTTCTCACTCTTTTCATTACAGTGTATCTGTTTTTGTTGAATTCTGAGGATGAAAATAAGTGAACTCTTCACATGATAACCAGCTCTCAATTAAAACAGATGTCATAATACAATTGTTCTTAAAGCCTAATAGAAAATATTTTTTCTCATTCCAGACAAAGTTTAGTCTGTAGAACTGACCTTTTTAACCAATGCAGTTTTTTTCCCACTGAAGATCTATAATTTTTTTTTTTGTTCAAATATGCAAAATTAATAAAAATTTAAAGTTTAAATCAAAGTTACAAACATTCTTTAACCACTATTTTTGTCATCAATGTTGGGTGAAGAACAGAAAAAAAAAATTAAAAAAGAAAAAAAAGATTCACTTGAGAATAATTTTATTTCATATCAAAATGATGTAATTACTTTTTATATGTTGATACAAACCTGTACAAATGCATCCACTGCCTTTTGTTCACTGGGTTGAAACTACAGAGAAATTTCACAACAAAATAATTTTTTGGAGAAATGTAAAATGCTTTTAAACTGAGTTGGAATTTAACAATTGATAAAAAGAGGAAGTGGTGTTTCAATGGATTTTTTAATACCAAGTAGAAAAGTTGTGAACATAGTAAAAACAAGCATGTACTTCCATAAAAAATGTATTAACCCTTATGCAGCCATGTGTTATAAAGTAAAAGTTGAAAATACTAAATAATGCCATGCTATATTGCTCTTTGTATGCATTTTTATTTATGATTTCTTTCATATTGAATTGCCATAACACTACTAAACAGTTTGTTCACTTATTGAACAATTATCTATTGATCCCATGAATACATAGAACCTGTGCATGACAGAGTGTGGATGATATGAATAAAGCATCCAGTTTATCTAAAGATCTTCATCATCAGATGGGAAAACTATTCTTATTTAGTGATATCACATGATTTTAATAAAGGAGTTTAATTTAGTCATTTCTACAGCAATTTTCATTTTCCTCTCAGATTAACTTCGATTTTTTATCTAGGATATTTGAGATTTCTGTATTCAAGATTTAAAAGTTTTACTGTTATAAGATACTAAAAGCTATAGCATTATAATTAATTTTATATGAAATATCCAGAAGTACTTACCGGCAACCAAAAGAAAGCACTGTCACAGTCATGTGTGTTGATGTTTTTCATGTACTCTACTTTTGTATATAGGTTGCTTTGGATCTGCTGGGCTTCAAAATGAACTACATTGCACATAAATATTTTAAATTATACTCATTATTCAAATGTTAGAAAAGAAAGTTAAATTATCATGAAAACACTTTTAAAGAATTCTCTACGATAAATAAATACAAAAAGAACCATACGCTGTAAAAGTCATCATTGCAGCACCCACAGGATTTTGTGAATTCTGAGCTACAGAATTATAGTAATCGCTATCGGTCAAAACACAGCTGATCTTACGGTTACAGATTTGGGATACGTTGAAATATAATGTAAAATCCATTTCTTTTTCTGAAGGAAAAGAACGAAAACATGTTGCTGAAGTGGAGTTCTGACACTGCTCCTTCAACTGTTTGATAAAGTGATCAACCTTCATATTTTGTATATTGTGAAGTTATGTATATCCTTTTATTCGAAAAACAGGTTATATGTTGCTGCTTGTCACGCCATAATAATTCGCTTGATAAGCACTCAGTGTGCCGCCGCAGTTCTCTGCTTTGACATACATCTGCCAATCCTATAATATTTATATAAATGCAATTCATATTATACAATCACTATATTCAATAATCTTGTATATTTCTGTTTACTTAGATTAAACACATACCGGTATATCATTTTAATACTTAAAGAAATAAGTAAAATAAAAATCACTTCCATCTTAACAAACAGCCGAGAGTACTAGGAAGTAGAAAATATTACATGACAGTCAACTGAAGGGTGAAGTGAGCTTTTCCTGAGAAAAAAGCTACTTTTTTTGATATGCATAAGAAGACGATACACGATAAAGATATGTGCATGTTTGAAGTACATTCAGCTCAATATGTTAGTTGTTAGAAACACTGATGTTTTCATAACCATTTCGTGAATTTAAAAAATGTGACTTTGACATGTCTATGATACTCACTATTTTAAATTTTACAGTCTTGCAGAGGAAAAACCTGTGATTTAGGATACAACAGATTAAATAATAATAAATTTTCAGCATTACTTTGATGAAGTTGAAGTACACGGACTATCAGTAAATATGAAATGTAGTAAGTCGAATTTCAATGTTTCCCAAGGGGTATTTTGCTAGTCCTCAAAAATATCTTTTTATGTTAAAAAAAAAAAGGAAGTGGCCTTCAACTCGACATTTAGATTTATCGACGACGTCTTGTTAATTAACAAAAGTAATTTCCATTCCTACATCAACACGATATATCCCGGTGAGCTTGAGATAAAAGATACCACAGAGTCTGACACATCTGTTTCATACTTGGATATTTTACTTGAAAAAGACGTTAATGGTAATCTCACAACCAAGCTATATGATTAACGTGATGACTTTAACTTTTCTATCCTAAACTTCCCTTACTTATGCAGCAATATACCTTCACCACCTACATACGGAGTATATGTATCTCAAGATCATGCTCTACGTATGAACAATTTCTAAAACGAGGTAAACTAGTGACAAGCAAGTTGATGAAACAAGAATATCAGCAGTCTCGTTTAAAGTCATCATTTCGTAAGTTCTATGGTCGATACAATGACCTTGTCAGCATATACAATTTATCTTTGAGTCAAATGCTGACTGACGTTTTTCATACCAATTGTTAATCCATTATTTACACACTGAATTGACGGCAGATTTTTCCGTTATTTCCCGATCATGACAAGGAGCACACGCTGGGTGTGACCGGTCAGCAGGGGATGCTCACTCCTCCATGGCACCTGATCCCACCTCTGATGTTTCGGAGGTCCGTGTTTGCTCTGCTCCTATTTTGAATTGTTTTATGGACTTTGATATTGAATACTGTTTGTTATCTCCATATCCTTCTTGTTACAGGTCTTTTATGTGTAATAAAAATATACCGGGTGACTCACCTGCTTTTCATGTTATATGTGATGGTCAGTCTAGTGTTGGCCCTCTAAGATTCTGGCTGATTCAATGTGTCCATTAATGCTGCATGAATGAGATTTTTTTGTCACTAAATATAAAGAACCCTCTTGTTTTTTCGTTAAAATCTACATTCTATTCAGCTATCAAATAGAATGCATGAAAAATATTTGCCTTTTTTTCAATTTCACTTTATACACTCTAATTTCATTTTCAAATAAACATATAATTTATGATGCAACACGATATAACGTAGTCAGGAAAATGAACTATTTCGTAGTAGGCCTAATTAACTATTTTGCACCCATTGCTCAAATGTAAGAAAAGAAAGTGATCATGGAAGGTACATAAATCATGAAATAAATACATGTAAATATACTTTACCTCTGACAAACATTCTAAATACAAAAAAAACCGTATTCTGGAAAACTTCGTCCGATCATAGACCGTCGTTATGTGCATCCTTTTATTCGAAGAACGTGTTATATTTTGCTGTTTGCCTTATTGTTCCGTAATGACTCGTTTGATAAGCATTCTAGTTCTCCGCTTTGGCATACACATGCCCATCATAGTTCTAGTTCATTTTATTCACCCAAACAAAGATTGGTACATTGGGTTCAAATAACGTATATACATACATGTAATATATACAAACTAGTCAAAGGTACATAATTTATATATACAGTAACAAAATGATGAATAAAATAGGAAAGAATTGTAAAAAAAAAAAAAAAAAAAAAATTAAAAAAAAAGAGAGAGAAAATATATCAAAGAGGAGAGACGGCATCGTAAATTTTTAAAATAAACATGCATATCCCATCCTATATTTAAAATTTATATCTGTTATTTATATTTATTATTGATATTTAAAATAAACAGGTACCTTTCTGCTTACTCAGACTGAATATACAAGATTCCCCTGACTTTAAAAAGCATACCTCCCTACAGTCTATTTGCAGATGATCCCCTATAAGACACGAAAAATTGTATATATTATTATAAATACAACATGTAAGTCTCATTTTCCAAGTGATTTTTTAATAGATTGAAGTAACATTTGTACGTTTTTCTGTAAGTACCTTCTATTTCAATCCACAGAATTGTTGATACATTGGTTTTCCTTACAATTGCGTCAATAAAAATGTCATCTTGTTCTTTTAAACAAGCTAAATCCATATTGTAATAAAAAACACCACTCCACTCTGTTATAATGATAAAAAATTATACTCCATTTAATTTTTTTAGAATTGCTTCATACATGTATTTTAAAGCAATTCACAAATAAGATATTACAAAAGATTTTGGTCTGAATTGTAGTAGTTTAGAGTTTACTTCTTTTGTATTGCATTATTTCTAAAACTTGTAGGATGTGATTCTCCTTTAAAATGACAGATATCATTTAAAAAGGCCAGTTTAAAGTAATTAGGATTACTTATTTCGCTAGTTTGATTTAGGAAATACTGAATTGCTCAAACTATTGCAATAAGTCTATTTAAACTGGCAGCAGACTGCTATTTCTCTTTGATTAAATAGAATTGATAGAAATCATTTAATAAAAAGCGAGTTTTAACTTCATTTAGATATACTCTATTTTCATATGTAAACTATTCAGTATTGAATAGCTCAAAATATTCCAATGAGTCTATTCAATTTGATAGAAGAATGTATTTCCATTGTAAAAAAAAAGATATTTATTCATACAAGATAAGGGGGGACCTATGTCGTTCTACGTCAAAGCAGCGTTATGTGACGTCACAATAGTGACGTTGGTTTTTACACGTTGACTTTTGCAAATGTGATATAGGCTTAACATTGTTAATGTGTAATCAATAACGTACACAATTTACAAAGAGAAAATCTATATATCATTTATTGCAGTTTTATTTGAATTATGGAGCTTGTTAATATTAGATTTCTCTTCCTTTGGTTGATAATTTATAGCATTTTCAGATGTGAAAAGATACCTCGATAATATGCTGATACAAGTGCGAGAAGATAAGATACAATTCAGCAAAAATGCGGCTTTTAGAATCAGGGAAATATATTTGTAAACCATTAATTGTATTTTCTCGATAAAACCAAGAAAAAAATTTTTAAAATGTACTTTACCTTTATTTGGTTATTGATGAGAACAGTTAGATTTATATATATATATTTTTTTTTTAGGTGTATTGTTGATTTTGGAAATTTTACAAAATGTTATATTAGGAGAGGGGCCATGAAATTCACAAATTGGGAAGAATCATCCTTTTTTATCATAGCTATGTACATAATTCGTTAGTTAAAAATCCATACACAGTGGCAAAAGATTTTTCACAGAGAAAAAATTTAGCATTTTACTAGGACTCTCTCTCTCTCTCTCTCTCTCTCTCTCTCTCTCTCTCTCTCTCTCTCTCTCTCTCTCTTTGGAAGAGGCAATCTTATTCAACATAACTCTTAATCTTATTATATAAATTTTAAAAAGGGTATATTGTGAATTTAGTTAACTGTAAATACTTTGTTTTGCTTTATCTCATACAAAATAAGATAATACTACTGAGTGAAATTTAATGAAACTTTCACAGAATCTTTATTACATATTGCCATTGTGCACCTTCTGTTTTTTCTTTTTTATTTTTTATTCGACACATATTTTAAGTTTCCTATAGCAAAACATGATCATTGCTATTATATGTTTACCTATGACGTCACATATAAAAGCTTCTGGATAACATTTGATAGGAAAAACTTTTTCTTTTGCAAATATTTAAAACAATTTATAGCAATACATCACACAACAAAAAGTTTAAACACTCCATAACGATGAGCCCATAAAAAAACAATACCCCTATTTTTAATGACCAGGAGCAGAGAAGATTCTCTGAAAGAAATAATGCATTTTCACTATGAGCTCACTATTTAGCCCCGCCTAGCACTAATGTCCATGTGTTGCTATATATTGTTTTAATAATGTGTAAAGAGGAATAATGTCCTATTACAATGTTATCCAACAGTTTGATGCTTGATGTCCAGGTAAACATATACCTTTTGTAATGGCAATGTGCATGTTTTGCTATGGTTTTGGCCCCAAACAGTAAAATAGGAGGTGCACAATGGCAATATGAAATCAAGATTTGTGAAAGTTTCATTAAATTTCACCCACAAATGCTTTGTGCCAAAATTGGTTGAAATTGGTTAGCTATTTAGAGAAAAAGTTGAAAATGTTCTAACATGGAGGCTAGTTTCCTGTCTTGTTTTGTTTATAGTAAGAGAAGAAACATGACCAAAAAATAATTAAGATGGGGAGTGCCTATGAGTAGTGTAAGAGGAGTTGGGGATAAGAGATAAAGCATAACAGTCCGTCCGTCTGTCTGTTATGCTTTTGGGTACCCATCTCCCTCCCAAACTTTTCATACCACTGCATGAGGGTTGATGAAACTTTCAAGGTCAGCCATACAATACTGAAGCATAAGTCGATCAAAATACCATTGACTATAGTTACGTCTAAAGTGGTGCAAATTTTTGACGAACTTCCATTAACGGTTATTTGAGTGAAATTGATCACATTCATATTTTAGATAAAGCACGTTTTTTTTTCGTTTTGAACATTAAAAGATATATATATAAAAAAATAAAGTTTTTACTTGTGTTATTTAACAATCCATAATGCATTTTAGCATAGAATGATGTTCCCACAATAATTACAATAAATGATCTCTGAGCGAAATAGAATAAATAAAATTTGAACTGATGCCCTGTTCACATGTGAGTATAATTCGCAGTAAATTAATGCGAAGTAAACTAATGCGAATTAAAATAATGCGAATTAAATTGCGTTCACACGACAGCTAATGCGAAGTAAACTAATGCGAATTAAAATTTTCTACTTCTACGGCCAGGCTTCAGTAAGTCTATTATGACGTCATTTGCTGACCACGACACCTTATGCAGGAGCAGATGCATTTGACATAATGTTACAGTGTCTGTACACACATTTTAGTGATTAACACAATTTTCCTTTGTAAATTTGAAATCAAAATAGCACAGTTTTACTTTAATATTAGAACTACTTAATGTGGCATTTGCACAGAATTTTGCCATTACGCATGCGTAAGAACTTAATTCGAATTAGCTTCGCTTAGCGTTCACACGGAGCTAATGCGAAGTAATTTAATGCGAACTAAACTAATTCGAATTAAACTAATTCGCATTAAATTCTCCATGTGAACGCTAATCGAAGATAATTCGCCGTAACTTTACCTTTAATACGAATTAAAGTCATACCGTGTGAACAGGGCATGAAACACAATTTATTTTATTACTGATATTGACCTATAGATAGCTATCACTGTCGAAGCCTTGAAGGTAGACTAAAAAATACAACACATTGTCACATTTGTTTTTTGCACGTTTCGTTCGTGAGTATTGTTACCACTGTAACTACTTGATTAAATTAATTACAGAAACAAATAGATTTTTACGGCGTAACAAATTCTGCTCAATTTTGCGTTTCTTTCCGTTAGAAATTTACAAGTTTAACGATGTTTCCTGCAAAAAAAATTTTAACTATTTGCACATTTTAAAAATGCATATTTTACACTTGAATTTCCCAGTCTGTATAGTGCTTTGTACTTGATTTGTAAGTGTAAATGGTATTTTCTCATATTTGTGTTGATGCTAATGATGAAACAGGACTTGTGCAATCAAAATTCCTGATATTATTCATTCCCCTAACGCTGCTTATAATTTTTATAGTGACTTCCTTTGATTTTAAAATTCATTTATCACCTTAGTTTTACAAAAAAATCTGAATGTAAATCATTCTATCTTTCTAGAAATAGGTCAAGATTATTTTTAAAATGTTCAAATAACACAAACGATAGTGAGCTAGCCTAATGAATTATGATAAGCATTTTAAATATCTACTTTTTTTTTTTAAATATCTACTGTATAATAATCTATCAAGCACTGAAAGAATTAATTTTATTAATTAAATAACATACTGCACACAACTAAGTAATTATTTCAGTATGTTTATAATAAGAATATTTTTTTATTCGGTGGAATTTTTACAAATTCAACATTTTCA